GAAACTTGCTCTGAAGTCAACGTTGTACAATTGTCGTTTAAGTATATAGTGAAGAGCATCTCCGCATTAGCCTTGAGAACGTGACGAGTTTGTTCAACAAACTAACCTTTTCAACAAGCACCTTGCCCTAATCTCACCCATAGGCCTGTTCACATCACGATGATATTTTATTGCAGCCATCCATAAAGCTTATTACATAGAGTGGCTGGTCGTGATACAAATCGCTCATAGTGACGCCTCCCAATTCACTACAAGGATTATTCTTTGGGTCTACATGTGCATATGAAATTGAGATCAACTAATTGCAAGATCATCCATTATATGTTGGATCTTCCCTCTTTGATGTACCTGATTATGCCATCACGACAATATATCGCTAACCGAGTAACAGCGTACAGACATATCTTCATTTTGCAAGCAAATAGTTTCATCGCCCACACGTAATCTAAATGAGCATAGATAACAGAACGCAAGATGATTCTGGAGCCCAGCCTCTACCTTCTCCTCAGGTAAGGTAATACCTCAGTATCTCCAAATCACTTGCGTTGAAGAATTTACATTTTTCTTTCTTGCTAATTGAGGTTTCTCAAATGATCTATTCATTAATGAATAATAAAATGTGGAAGGGCTCTTTTAGCACAAGAAAAACACCTAATATAACTGAGCTCTTTGCACGCTGCCCAAAAAAAAAACAAGCTGGTGACGTCGTATATGTGGCAGAAAGAATATTTTTGGCCGTTTCAATAGAGAATATGAGCTCTAGCAACATCCGCATACCTCTCTGCGAGTTTCGAATGGGCATTGAATGCAAGATATAGAAGAAGCTGCGGAATTTGAATAATTTCCACAGTTCTTAGCTTTTCATGGTCTTCATTTATTGCCAAGAGCGCAAAGTATTTACGATGTGCACATTATAACTCGTTATGTCTGTTTTTCATTTCTTAACTTTTTCACATCTCTTTATTTTAGATGCAATACCACACATCATAAATATTTACATTTTATTCAGTCCTTTTTGACTTTCCAAGGAAATCGGAAAGGGTTGGCCGGTTCCGGACGGCCCCAATCCCGATTGAGCTCGATGCTATGTTCCTTGATTGTAATACCAACCACTTTCGATAAGAATATGACGGTCAAAATAGAGAATACAACGACGAGAAATGCAAACACGTAGAATGTCTCCTGAAATGGCTCAGTGTGGATAGTTCAGTTTAGTTCAAATTAATGCAAGCCTACCTCATCGAAAAGTTCATCAAATGTGGGAATGGATTGGTTTATGAAGTGTAATTGTTTCGAGAAGCCACGCTTTTCTGCCGGATGGCCGTTTTGATTGATAATAGTAGTCACCCCAATTACTGCCTTTTCCCGCGTCCATAGTGAAATCAGGGAATATAGTTGATAAGAAAATTCTAGCTAGAAATCAAGTCAGTATAAGTCCTGCAAGCCGAATTGTTGGGCGAGGTTTATGACATAGTGGATGTCGAGGAAGATTTACTCAAGCTTCAATCGATAGCTTTGCTTGGCGCAGCAATTAAACCGCGAGCAGCTTTTGCGCTCAATGGGACCGCCCGGCGACCCGTTCGGATGGAACGAACAGCTGCAGTGTTTACTTGCGTTTTGCGTCGGGGAACTATTGGAACTTATGTGGGATCTGGAGATTATTCATATCAAGACGAAATATAATCCAGACTCCAATTCACTAGACATAAGGAGCTATGAGAAGAAAATTGAAAAATATTCGGCACTTTTGCACTATTACAACCACAGAAGGAAGCGAGGTGGGTCAAACCCAATTTGTCATCGTTACAGATCTCCTGCCTATGGGGTCTTCGAGAAGTGCGCTGACCGACCCCGAATAACGCCATCCTCCCAATTTGGCGCCATTTGGCGCCAGGTGGCGCCACAACTGATTCCCACCAAATTCGCTGTAAACTTCTGTATAGGGGTTATTTGGGGCCCTGATCACGAATATGACACTCATTTTTCATTCGTGCTGTTAACGCATACTTTCTGCTTTTCTAAGCTTTCTCACCTACAGCGCCTAAGACTAAGCTTAGGGGAGGGGAGTGAAACTCCGGAGTGGGTAAACCACGCACCGTGTGGCAAAAGTTGGAGTGTGTCAGACCACAGGGGAATGGCCTACCCACTTTGGAGCCCTCCACTATTCAAAGGCTTAGTCCTGAATTGCGATCTAATTAGTGCGAGGGCGCAGACGAGCAGGAAATAGGCGCCGAATAGCGCTAACAACAAAAACGAATGTCATATTCGTAATCAGGACCCAAATAACCCCTATACAGAAGTTTACAGCGAATTTAGTGGGAATCAGTCGTGGCGCCACCTGGCGCCAAATGGCGCCAAATTGGCGCCAGCGTCAAAAATGAATATCATGGTCGTGATGAGGACCCTCGAGAACCTCCATGGCCGAAGTTTCAGCGAAAAATATTTTTTGACCCATCTCATCCCTAGTGGAGTTGTAATAGTGCAATAGTGCCTTGGCTGGACTCAAGACATCTTCGCCATTTCGGGGTTTTCGCTCCACCTATTTGGTTTGAGGCAGCAGCTCTATTGTAAATCGGCAGAAGCGTGTAATCCAAGTGATTTGCTTTGCATCTCCTTGTTGTTGTTATGAAATCATTATTGTGTCAACCACTACGATGCTCATTGATCAACTTTACATTTTTTTTTTTCTTTCAGATAAGCAGAATGTAATCTCTTTTTGTTTCCAAGCGTTTCCAGGATTCAAGCAGTACGGAGCTGATCAGGTCATGCACGATGTTCGTTGTTGAGTCCAACCAGGATCTGGAAAAACAACTCGTCGCCTATCTTTTACGCGATGTTCATATCTTCTGAGAAGAGGGGCAGGTGAACTGCTTAAAATATGTTTTGGAATAATCAAAAAACAACATGGCATTCTGATAACAGTTCTTGTCGAATTGCGCCATGCCTTCGGACTCCATTCGGGTTCATGAAGGATTTTCGCTGCCTATTTCGCCCAGAGGTGGCCTGTTGAAGGACGTTGTTTGGACCAATGCATTCCCTTCTGGACAATTGATATTCACTAATTTTGCTCTGACATATAGATTTCGGTTGACTTGGCCAATATCTCACAGAAACTTGGCAAAAAGAACCCATCGTTCTTGCAACCTTCAATTTCTCTGCGCATTGAACTGTTGGCAATGTAGTTATTTAATGAATGGTGTTTTCACATGTTACTGCTGAAGCTTGATTTGAGCCAAGATGTGCTGGACGCGTGCTTCAAGGGCGAATTGATGGATGCGTACAGGCGGGCTGTCCAGCCCGCAACTTGTGGTCGCCGGGATCAGGTTTCGCACGAAAATTTGTAATTAGGCCAAGCAGCGAGATAAGTGTTCGTAACGTCGAAGGAATAGAAAACTAAATTGTTGTAATGACGTTTTTGTGCGTCAAAAACTCACATAAGAATTTTGGTTTGGTAACGTCAAGTGCAATGACTCGTCATTCGGATAAAGATCAATTGATTCAGACGGTCAATAATTTGTTTTTTGGGGCTATCTAATGATTCCGTCGACTCATCTTTTCCATTACAGTGTTGCGGTCTACCTGAAACTGAAGTGAACTCTAATTTATCACTGCGGCCTAAAACGTATTTAGTTCCGAAAACATGAATTTGGAGCAGTGATACTTTCCCCATCTCGTGAGCTCTCGATACAAATCGCATCGGTAAGATTACGCTTTCGTTCCTTCTAAGTTCAGCGACACATATTATTTTCTCCAGGTTGCTGCCCCTTTTGCGGCAAAACTTGACTACTCAGTAGTTGTCACTGTGGGTGGAACAAAAGTCGAACAGAATTTGAAAAAGTTGAAGAACGGGTAGGTGTCCTCATTAGCTGTTATGATCCACTTATCCTTTTATTTATTTGTTTTCGTTTACAGAGGAAATATATTGTTTACCGAACTCCTGGCCGTCTTTCCAACTCGTTATCACATAGATTAACGGATTGTAGTCTCCAAGCGAGCTTCTTGAAAACTGTAGAGACTCTGCGCTCATCGATGAGGCTGATTCGGTTCAACGAGTCGCCAATTTGAGATGCCGATGAGTTGTTTGTTATAGATTCATGATGAACTATACTCTTGCAACCTTCTTATTATGCACTCAATAAGTCGGAGAAAGGTTGCTCGCCGGCGTGTTTTGACTGTCCCTTATTTGTTAACGAACGCAGATTCTTTGAAGTTGACTTCTCTTGTACAGTCTATGTATGTATGCTGCAAATCTCATTCGAAACTGATTTTGATTCGACATGGACACGTTTGCCCGGGCTTCCCAAAGGGTTTTATGTGGACGCTGATCTGTTGCCCGAGTATTATATATTGTTTCTAATTTGTTTGATGCAGCTTGAAAGGGGCGAGATTCTGTACTCGCATTAGACCTACACAACGCCGAACAGGACTTTGGTTTCTCAGCGACTCAAGCAAAGGAGTTGGAAGACTTGTCGCTGTTTGGGTTAAGGAATAAGAAAGTGATAAAAATCAAAGAATCCAGCAATCTGGTCTCTCCCTCCACGCTAAACAACTTTTACACTGTAAGTATTTTTGAAAACTCTTGATGATCATCTGATCAGCTGATTAGTCCTCAATTTCAGGTTTGCGAAGCATCAGAGAAGTTGATATGTGTGGTGGAATTTATTCGCAGCAAGCCCGACAAGAAAGTGCTTGTTTTCTTTCCGTCGTGTGGAGGAGTGAAATATTTTCATACGGTAACTTGGAGTCCTCGATTGCTCTGTTTGAAATTCCTACTCATGGTCAATAGTTATTAGTCCATGGTCCTGGTCTTAGCATTACGTTTCTAGATTATTATCCCGTGTTCTCACGAAACGGCCCTTATACGCGCTGTTCATGGCCACAGTTCTCAGGCGGAGCGGACCAAGCAGGTAAGGATTCCCGTAGTAGTTGTTTTGGTTCTGCAATTATCTATACCAGTGCTTACGCAGATTGACGACTTCCGCAAAAGTGACAATGCAGTGATGTTGTCAACCGATGTGATGTCTCGCGGCATTGACATCCAAGACATTGACTGGGTCATACAATTCGAGGTGCCCAAGCTATCCAGGTAGGGATGGATTGAAAACGGAGGGAATCATTATGTTCATGAGCATTTTGACACGGAGATCATTAATCCCCAATTTTCTTTTGTGTCATGAGAAATTTGATTACTCTGTTGTCAATGTGCTAGTTGCTATTTCCGCACTGTGAAAATTGCGGTAAGAGTAGTTAAATAAATAAATATGCACGGAGCATTGGAGGCAAGCAGAATTTCCAATGCGGAGCTTTCTATGCACGAAAATGGGAAAAAAACTCATGATGCCCATTCGAACTGAAAGCCTCTCGCGTAACCAAGTACTCCATTAGTCAAAGGCAGTGATCACGATGACAGGAAGGCGTTGTGGTTTTGATGATGTTATTGAACATCAGCGGTTCAAGGGGCGGTCTCGATCAAGTCCTCCAACGCTCCGAGCGCCAGTGTCATCAAAACTTGCAGCCATCGTGATCTATGCCTTGAAAGATCCAGCAGTTAAAGAGACATTCTGTGATTAAATCATTGGAGCCTTCCCTATCTGCGGCAAACAAGGTTTCCTGCTCCGCAACCGCAGAGATAGGGCTATTTTTGTTAATCCGAACAAGGGCACTAGGTTCAGAACTTGCAACCACGCACGTCCATTCGGCGTGTTTGTTTTGGATCCATGCTGTGCAATCTCGTCTCCCTGTTGTTCTTGTGTCGGCGCATCGTTTCCATTGTACTAGAGTTCCCCATACCAAAAGTCCTATTTGAAGCGTTTCAGTGTAACTTTATCCTTCCTTTAGTCACTGGCGAGTCAATACTATTTCATATTTGGACCGTCATCTTTATCCCGTTTTTCGTATACCAGAGAGTCGCCCAAATAATGCCCAACAAAAGGCATACTTTCCCGTCCGTTCAATTCGAGGAAGCTTGACTAGTAATCCCCAAAGTCCCCCAAGTGAAATTAAGATGGCAACCTGGGGATCATAGTAATAATCAAAACCTTTCTTAACATAAATCATTTATTTTCTCTTAAGTTGGTTCGTTCACCGATCTGGACGAACGGCTCGTTGTGGACGAGAAGGAAACGCCTTGCTTGTTCTCTCTCCACAGCAAACCGCCTACGTTGGCTACCTGGCGACACATGAAAAGGTTGGTATCTTCCTGGACTTTTTTCTCAGGTCACACTGTTTATTTTTTACTCATGTTCTGTTTAGGTTGAATTGAAGCAGATCTCAGTGCCAAGCAGTAATGCTCAGAAAGCTATACAACTGAGAGAGAAAATTGCCAAGATTGTATGCTCTGGATCGGTTGGCCGTTTCTTACTTCTCTGACCGTACTCCAGAATATCTGTATACCAGCAATCTCACCATCTTTCCAACGTCGTTCGATAGGCAGCAGACTTGTCTGCAAAGATGAAATCGCGCCCCCAAGCACAGCTCGTAGTTTATTGTGCAATTCACAAATACTTTCGAATTCCTCTCTCTTGACAATTGTTCCTTCTGCTCATCTGGTGCATGTCACGAATGGTAGCTTAGGTTAGAACAGCCCAACTTTCTCCCAGTATCCAGACTTGTACCGTCTAACGCCTTTATCAAAAAATGCTCCGAAGAAGGCGATTGAGCCGGATCGTTAGCTGAATGTTGCGCGACGCTACTGCACAGAGACAGGGTGAGCGCAAATTACGGAAGAATAAAACAATTTTCAATTTGAAACACTTTAATTATTAATAGGAGCAATATCCATCACTCAAGTCGAATCGTGTCCTCACCGGCTTCACTGTAGGGTTTTGATTTCCATGGTGAAGACATCCATGGTGGCACTCGTGCAGCTGTCTTCATTCATCGTTCATGCGGATGGCCGTTTTTCAAAAGCAGCCGGGAGCATTTCAAGATTATTTGAAACAGCTTTGCAGACTGGAATCTCGCGCACTTAGGATATATCCAGATCGAGCGAATTTTGGACAATATACCGGATAATATACGATGATTAATATATATAATAAGACGCATATATCGGTGACGTTTTGGCCATTTTGCGATCGACCGGTTTCAATGCTGCGGGAAGCGGTCGCACAATCTTTTTTCAAATTAATGCACACAAATAATTTGGCTTCCTGCTACATAGTGGTTTCCTTACTCAGTAGAAGTTTTGACCATTATTGGACACCACGATCGTGTTCGTTTTGAAACGCTTTTGAATGTAGTATACCGGAGTTCTTGTTGGTTTCACTGATACACATAACGATAGTTTGGGATGAGGAGAGTTCTTCATCATTCCGGATGCTGTTTCATCAAAGGCAAGCCTGGGAATAAACTGTTTGACAAGGTACGCTTCGTAGTGATGACAGTGGAAAGGAAAGCAGGAGAAATCCTTGGAAACGTTGAAATTAAGGCCCTAATCTTTTAATAAGGTCGAGATCGCGCCGTTCGAGAAAGCCCGCTGATCTCTACATCAATAGCGGGGGTGGGAAGCGTTGCAACGGGAGCCGGTGTTGCAGACCCGTTAAGGATCAGCCCCCTTAACGCGCGCAATTTTTGCTGGAGTGATCTAAGTAGGTACGGAACCTACGCTGACTCCCAGGTGGAGAACAGTTTCCACATCTCCCACGAAGGAGTGGAGATGAGCTGACCATGAGATGAAGATTGTCAGGGCGAGCTAAGGCTCGCCAAGGCAAGGCCTCTTAATACTACGTACGATTAAAGGACGAATTCACGATTAGAATGAAGGTCGAAGAAGAGAAATTCACCTAGTTGTGGGGACCCGCGGACCTCCTGAGGGTGCGGAATGAAGCGCAATTGGCACCGAAGGAGTTGACCTCGGCGACCTATTAAGGCTCAATTTGGCGCGTCGTGCCTGTACGCCCACGATCATCTTGCATCACTCGCGCACGCCGTCTATAGGTGGCGAGTGATTAAGGTAGGTGAGAGCAGAGAATGTTGAAAAAGATCACATCGAGGCACAGCCGTGATAGTCGCATCAATGCTCAAATCGACGGGCAAAGGAAAGGGTCCCATGTTTCAGGTTCTGGGCCGTTTCTCATGGTTTTTCCTTCTTCGGTGTAGCACTCATCATCGTTGAGTTAATTTGAAAATGGGTTATCCTATCCAGCCATGAATTTCATTTTAAAGGAAGCGAGTCACGCTGGCTTCCACGCTGGATTTGCTACCCTCGCGTTATCAATCGATAAGGTGTGAGGCAGTAATTGTTGGACGAGTGTAAGCCCATGGAAGATATGATACGATGAGATAAGAAGGTGCGGCTGCTTGATAAGAGGTGCACTCCAGAATGAAAACGGGACGATAACGATAACGGTATCATATCTAGCACGCTCTTATCGCACCCCTTTCCACATCGATAAGTCTTGGTTTGCTGAACTTGAGTTGAATTTCGGCTCCTTATCACTTCATTGATAAGGGCCACTGCCACTGAAACTTTACGTGTTCTAACATTGGGCAGGACCTCTATCCACTCCAATACATAGCTTTCCTTATCGTTGCCATGAAAATTATCGTGACTGCTTCCTTTAAGAAGCGATCGCGCTGGCTCCCACGTGGAGAACAGTTCCCACGTATTTCGCGAAGGAGTCGAGATAAGAGCTGATATGGAGATTGTTCAGATGAGTAAAGGCTCGCCAAGGCAAGGTCTCTCGATATTAACGGCATGATTGAAATGAAGATTGTCAAGAACGATAACTTCCACACGTAGTCCGGAACGAGGGGTGGGGTTCCGAAATTCGTTCTGGGCCTGGTCACGCCCTTAATTAGCGCCACTGCCCCTAAAGCGTCACTTATCGTCTAGGTCTCCTACCCAATCCACGTGTAACTTTTCCATTCGTTTCCATGGGATCCATTGCACATGGGACCGCTTCTCCCTACCAGGTGTTTTGTGGTAGCACAGAAGACGAAGAATTTTGTACTAAGCAACCAAAATAAGTGAGTAAGAACTTAAAAAAAGCGAAAAAAATTGCGAGTGCTCGCGGTTCCCTTTATTTGCACTCACATTCTATTGTTCCCCTTCCATTTTCATGGTCATGATGGTCAATGAATTACAGTGAAATTCTGGAAACTGGAACGAGAGCATTTGTTTGTCACATTGAGAGTTACGTGAAGCACGATTGCAACATCGTTTGTGGGCTAAAAGGTGATTTTTTCGTGCGATAAGGCTAGGAGTAGGTCCTCAAACGTAATGATTTTATTTTGTTTGAGACCTTGACGTCGCCGGGCTCGCTCATGCTTACGGTCTCCTTCGTTTACCTAAAATGAGAGAGCTCAGTGGGCGCAAAGATCTCGACAAATTCCAACGAAGTGACATCGATACATCAACAATCAAGTACGCGAATCCCGCGTTGGAGAAGAAACGAGGCGAGGTGAGGCACGCACTTCCTCATTTAGAAATGGGCTGATTGCTAATTAATAATTATATTTTGTTAAGATAATGTCTGCTAAACACGAGAAGCGAGTTAAAGCAATGAAGGAGAAATTGGCGAAGAAAAATGCTGAGAAGAAATCCACCGACAAAAAATTGAAGGCGAAAAATGGCATCAAGACTACAGCTAAGCCGGAGGTGAGACAGTTATACATATTATTTTAAAAGGATTGGAGAGTTGAAATTTCAATCTTGTTCCGGATCACAAATCCCACTGAATTGGTGTTAATTTTTGATCACAAAACCAAGTCCTCCCATTTTGTAGGTAATATTTCGCTCTCTTCTGCTTGCTTTATCTTTCCATTTCCTTCAGTTACGTGAAATTTTGTTTCCACAAGACTCTTACTTTGTCTCTCGTTTTTCCCTTCATTTTACTTTCGTCTACTACGCCCAGTTGCCAGTTTAGTGCCTCGTATTATTCAAAAACTTTCTTCCAAGAAGCTTGAATTTTGAGCGTTTTTTTTTGCTATCTCTTTATTTCTGTTTTTATTTTGTGAGGTATTTCCAGAAATCAAAGTTCACTGAAACGGAAGCTTGAGAAAGACGCACATGAAGAGCGCGAGGATTTCGACAGTGATGTGAAATTACTACGAAAAATGAAGAAAGGGCGTCTTAGCAAAAAGGAACTTCGCGACGTGTCCTTCTAACCCGATTACATTTGTTTCATTTGTTATAGCTCTTGTTTTGTTATGGCTTCGATATCGAACACGCAATTATTGTTGTTGTGATTGCTATAGAAATAAATAAATCCATTGGCGTTACTAAGTGTTTTTCTCAAATACATCCGCATTCTTCTAGGACGGAAGTGTGAGGTTGGCAGGTGGAGTTGTCACCACGACGCGGTCGGGGCCTCATCAAATCTGCGGCCGCTGCTTCTTCCAGCCAACGAAGCTTCATCTCGAGAGATCGTTGAAGTTGGTATCAGAACTTGTCTGGTTCTAGGTAAGAAACACTGACTTGTATTCGCGAGATTGTGCTCATCGTACAGCGTCATTGTATATGCTAATCCGTTCCAATTCACAGCGAATGTATGATTAATATTATTAGTATCGTTATCGCTATAATATGACTTGTGAATCGTCCGATCCTCTTAATTGTAAATCTCGTTATTCGCGCGCTTCTTACAAAAAGTTCCACAAAAAATCGTCAAAATAAGGTCAAAAAAACGACACCATGGGGAGCAGACAACTTCTATACTTGTTCTGCGAGATTTCGATGATGTGGTGTACTCGCAGTATTCCCAAGAGATTTTAATCTTGTCTTGTAGCTAATGAAAACTATGACCTACGAGTCAGCGTTTTCATTCTGTTTGGGTTCTAAAAAAAGAAAAAAGATACGGAATATTAGCGGCTTGCTACTCTATCTCGATTGATAAATAATGAGCAACCAAATAGTGCTCGGGTGTGTCTGATATTGCTGATCGCTCTCTACCTTTCACACATCGGATTGAAGACGTGTTAAAGTTCCTATCTACGATCTGATTTCGTTTTTTCTCATCCAAAACTGTATCTTCCTCATAAAGGGATAAAGCATTTGCCGCGGGTTTTATTCGTGTCTTCTTTTTTGGGATTCGTACACGCATTTCTTAATGTTCCATTTGTTACAGTTTTGTTGTGGGGGTGCGTGGGTGCTTTTTGTGTTGAATGCGATGTGGCCTATACAATGACTTGCGGCCAGCCGACAAGTCAGTGTTTTTATCCTCCCAGACAAGTCTGGTACCAATTAACCGACCCCGGAGGGATGGAAGGCTTGGTTGGCCCGGGCGACTCACGACCCAGGATTTGATCCCCGGACCGCTCGCGTGGTAAGCGCGCCACTTGCCACTACACCACTTCCGCCCCTTGCGATCTCCTCATAGGTACATAATACGAATCGAAGCATTCTTGGAGGAGTGTCCATTTGATTGTTGAAGGTGGTATCCATTTCGCGGAAGCGCGCCAATAGCCGCCCAGCAGAAAAATAAAAAAACACAGAGGTATCCGACGGAAATCAATCTCTGGAGGCGCCACGTATTTCGAGTCCGTTGAAGGTGATCGTTTTCAATGAATGCGATTCGGCTTGCAAAACTATTCACGAAGGCTTGCCGATATACAAATGTGTTCTTATTCTCTCAAACAAGTTTGGCAGCGATCAAAAGAGAGGGTTAGGTTGCCCTGAGCGAAGATTGCAGTGATAAGTAAGGGGGATTCCACGATAAGGTCGAAGGAGGGGAAACTAACCAAGTGGAAAGTTAGACGGCCGACATTGAGGAATTCCTCGGAAAGGACATGTCCCCGGCGACTAGCACGACCTTCACCTCGACGCTATCGGCGCGGTACGCCCATCGACTGGTTTACCACTCGCCGCAGCTCTAGCCTTTCAGCACAGGAGCGTTAGCAATGGTGGGGGCAGCACCAGAGGATGAGATCCGCATCAATGCGCAAATCAACGGACGAAGGGGTCCATTTCTCGGATTCTGAACCGTTTTTCATGACTCTTCTTCGTTCCCCACCACTGAAAAGCTCTGCCTTAACTCTGGTGAGCTGCCTTCTAATCGTAAACTCCGCCTTAACACATTGACGCCCGCACTGATTTCGGCGCATGTCACACATGTGACATAGCTGCATTACCTGCGTGCATACCCGGCGATGCACAAATCTCACATTCGGGACATTTTGTGGAATTTCTCTACAGGACCCATATATCTCGCTACAAGACCCATGTATTTCGCCACAGGACCCACACAATCTCAACTGCAACCTCCCCATTGCGCTGGCAACGTATTGCTTTTGTCCTTTCTTTGTTCTGCTTTTTCTCGTTTTTTTTTGCTTTTTGCTAGTTTTTTTTGCTCGGCTTCTCATCAGAAAATATATTCAGTAATTAGTAGCCATTGGAGTTTATTGTTAAACAGTTTATGAGGGTTCAAACTGAGGCACTGGTTGTGCAAGTTGAAGTTCCAAAAGTTTATTGAAATTGAAGATGGAGAGCAGCCATGTGTTTAGTGGATTCAAGGCACTAGTGGAACTTCTATAGTCACAGAAGTAATGAAAAAAAGATATGGGGAGAGCTTAAAATCAATGTGCATACCCGGGCGATGCACAAATGTCAGATGTGGGAGTTTCGACGTGCATACCCGGCGATGCACGCGGGCTGCAATGTGTTAACGAGTATAAGTGAGGAAAAGGGAGCCAACAGAGGCCCGCCAACAGCATTTGTCGTTCAGCCGAAGTTGCCAGTAACGAATTGCAGCACAAAACCATATCGACTCACATCACGAAAAGCAAATATGTAGCAAATATTCGAGCTCTGATCTTCGGTTTATTTTCCAACAAATTCATATGTACAAGGCGAAAATGAAACCCTGTTTCACAGTCATTAGCATATAAATAGAAAGCAACGATGGAAAGCAATTTGTATGTACAGTAATGACTCGTGAAAATGTGATCTAAGAATCGAGCAAAATTCTTTAAAACAATTCCATCATGAAGGCCTCGGCAGACTTAGAGGATATGAAGTGAAGGCGGCAAAAGTGAAAGCACACGACTGCCTGTCATGTCAAGTTCACAATAGAAGATGCTTGTCAAAGTGAACCCGAGCTGGGTATTCTACCCCAGAACTAGCAAAAAACACTACACAACTTCGAAATGATAAATGCTGATCACTATTGGCAAAAAAAGTACTGTAAAAAAACCTATTGTGAAGGAAGAACGTAAGCTCTCATCAAGCGAGGTGGCTCGAAAACGTGCTTATCGATTCATTGGTAAC